ATATATATACTTGTTTTCTCCTTCTCATTAGGATGCATACAAATAGAAAGACTTCCAAAGCAGGTGTTGTGATTTAAACCTTTGTCACACGTATTTCTTACCCATGTGCCTCACTACTATTATGGTCTAAGTTTAAGCTTACTCCTCCCATGGAGTGTATTTGTGTATTTATCCTCCCTGTGTGTATTTGTGGGAAGAAGTGAAACAAGTTTTTAGCAGAATGTTTTGTATTAACTGTCTTTACAATGTAGAACGGTAGTAGCTGACCTCCTTCTTTTCCTTCGTCTCCTCCTCCTTCCATCATCACATGTAAGATATTTTGGAGTTTGGGGGCCAGATTTTTTCATTTTAATTTTTAAAAATTTATTATTATTATTTTTTTCAAAAAGCTGGGACAATTGCTTTTGCCCTGTGCTGTTTTCATTTATCATTTCTTGAAATATAGCTCTGAAAAAACAGGCTTTAAAAAGTTCATTGTGTTTCAAATGGAGCTACTTGACTAAGCCTTGTTTAAACCCAAATCATTCTGGCATTCGTTGAATGGCCACTAATAGCTCCCAACCCAAGCCTCTGTGATTCATTGTTCAGACGGGTTAGAATGAATGTAAATAGCAATTCTTTTCTACTCTGGCCAGAAACTCTGAGGGTCTTCCATTCTCAACCTAATATTTTTGTAATAGTACATTGAACCATCTTTTGTCTCAATTCTTACATAGCCCTTAAGTCATTGAATGGGTGTTGCCTCAGACAAACTGAGACCTGAGAAAGACCTTAATTTAGAAAGGTCAAGGTACCCACTGCAGCCTGGGCTATTGCCAGTGTCTTGACTTGCCTTGCCACTGGACTTCAATGACTCTGGAGGAGTGAGGCTGCTGACTTCGTGCAGCTCTATCCCACTTACATCCAATTCACACACACACACACACACACAAGTCAAGACATTACTCCCAGTAGTGGCATTGGTCCTCTTCGAGTACTAAGGATGAACAACAACAAGGAGGCAAGTTCCTTGAGAGCAGGAATTATTTCATTCCTTATATGTATATTCCTGGTATCTATAACAGGTCTTGGCACATTTATTAAATACTTAATAGATGTGTGTTGATTAATTGGTATATGAATGTAAAAGTTCTCTAACAAGTGAAGCAACTCCTGTGGGTTCAGTCTCCAAACCCTCACTCACGTTGGCTTATTTGGTCCCCAGAGAGGAGATGATTAATTTCCCTCTCAGGGTTCTATCATTGGATATCCTTGAGGGGTTGAGGTATTATAATACTACAATTTATGATCCCTTATTGGGTGCGTTCCCCCAATATTAATTAATCAGTTGATAGCAATTAGCTTTTACAAGGGGATATTTACTGAGGATATACAGCAAGGAAACATCTTCTCAAATGGAGAAAAACGGCACACTTTCTCCTCACCACATACTTGGTCTCTGAGGACAGTAGGCTCAAGCTTGAAGCACAAAGGTACTGAAATATTCAAGTTGAGAACATCCTGGGAACTTGAAATTTCCGGCCCTGGGAGCCCTTTCCTCTCATCACAGTGTTTCCACCAAGTTTGCTGCAGATGTATGAGTCTCTCCCCTTGCTCAGCTGTCCTAGCTCCTTACAGGATGTGGTGTCTTAGCTGATGATGGGTCAATCTATTTGCTAAGCTTGGTCGAGCAGGGTGCCTCCTCACCAGACTCAGTCACAGTTACCACTGACTCCAGGACTCTGGTTGCTGAAAGGACCATGAATGATTTTGATAAATCTTCTGGTGTCACCATTTGCCTGAGTGCTAAAAGTACCATTCCCTCAGGGATTCATGGTAGTCCAGCTGACAGTTCACAGCAAGCAATACTCCTCACTTGAAATCTACCTGGAAATAGAGTGACACATCTCTTGGTGACTTTTTGTATTCATGCTTATTTACCATTCAACAGCATTAAGCTGAGAGGAAACAGGATTATTTGTCCATATTCTGAAGTGAGGGAAAGGGTCCCTGCATTTATGCATGCCTGAAAAGCAATATGCAAAAAATATTGCTCATATATAATCCACCAGGAATGCATGTTCTAAGGACTAGGGCCTCACTGACCAGTCCCCAATTATACAAGTAATATCAGTTTATTTACATTCACAGAAAAGGATTACACTTCCAGTTCCAAAAATCCTAAATAGCCAATACATCCTCCTATACATTATGGAAAAATTTATGCCAACTAGACATTACGGAATGCATTGTGGCAGCCAAAATTTAGTTGGCACTAAAACAGGGTATCAGGATAAGCCATTTGCTAGAAGCTGGATTTTGGATGAAGTTGGATTCTAAGGGTTGGAAGTGAAAAGGAAGCGCATTTCTGGCAAGAACAACAGCCTCTGTAGAGACCCTGAGGCAGGAGATGAAATCCTGAGTTCTGAGAACACTGAGTAAGCCTGTTTAATTAGAATAGAAGCTTCACAAAGGAGCATAAAGTACAAAATACCTAGAAAAGTAACTGGAGCCAGATCATTAATGACTTTAAACTCCAAAAGAGAGTTTGTATTTTATCCTAAAGGCAAGAAAGAGTCACTAGAGTTTTGTGAACAGAGGACTGGTATGGTCAGATCTGTATTTTAGGAACAGCAATTTAGTGGCATGTGGAAAATAGATTGGAGAGGGGAGAGACTGAATGGAGGGAGACCAACCAGGAGGCTGTTGTAATAGTTCAGGTAAGAGGTAATGAAGGCCTGAACTAAGATGGTGGTCATGCAAGCGGGGAGAAGGGGACGAATGTGAAAGATACTGAGGAGGTAGATTTGACAAGACTTGGCAACTCATTGGAGAACAGGGAAAAGGCAAAGATGGCCATACATATGAATAGTACATTCCATCATTTTATTAGGATGTACACTTGGAGAATTTTGTTGTTTTTTTGAGATAAACATTTGTTGAATACTCTCCTAAAATGTTATTTTTATTCACCAAGGAAATGAAATCTCAACTCAACTTTATAATTGTTGTTCAGTTGTTTCTTTCAGTCACATCTGACTCTTTTTGACCTCATTTGGGGTTTTCTTAGCAAAGATACTGGAGTGTTTTGCCATTTCCTTCTCTAGCTTATTTTACAGGTGAGGAAGCAGAGGCAAACAGGGTTAAGTGACTTACCCAGGGTCACACAGCTAGTAAGCGTCTGAGACTGGATTTGAACTCAGAAAGATGAATCTTCCTAACTTCAAGCCCAGCATTCTGTTCACTGCACCACCTGGCTGCCCCTAACTTTAAAATACAAACTTTAAAAGAGACACAAAACACTATCTTTTTTTGGAATATCAGTGCGCCCCCAACAAACCCTATGAGCATACCTGTGAAGATGACTCTGAGATTGCAAACCTGAGTGATTGGGTGTTCCCCACCCCCAAAAAGAAATAGAAAACTTGGTAAAAAAAAAAAAAAAAGGATTTTGGGGAAAGATAATGAATTTCATCGTGAATATGTGGAGTTTGAAATTTTTATGTGACATCTAGTTGGAGAGGTCCAATAGGTGATGAAGGACTAGAGGTCAGAAGAGAGACTATGGGGTATATGGACCTGGGGGGGGTGGACTAGAACTTTTCTAAATCTATGGTCCTATGAGCTGTAATTTCTCTTTCAATCCTAAATCTGTGATCTAAAACCCCTTGGTGATTTTATCTATTCTCTTGGGATTAATTATCATCTTGGTAAGGATGACTCTGAAATCTTTATCTGGATTTATGTCTCTAAATCTTAATCTCAACCCTATTTATGGGAATTAGGTAGCCCAGTAGATAGAGCTTAGGAAGATTCATCTTGAGTTCAAATTTGGCCTCAGACAATTATTAGTTGTGTGACTCTGGGCAAGTCACTTAATTTTGTTTGTCTCAGTTTCCTCATCTGTAAAATATAGTGGAGAAGGAAATGGCAAGCCACTCCAGTATCTTTGCCAAGAAAACCCCAAATAGAGCCACAAAGAGTTGGACACAACTGAAAAAACGACTCAAAAATACACCAACATCTTGATGCTGCACCAATACATCAAACTTATATCTAGAACTCAGAGCTGGAAGAGACTTTAGAGATATCTAGTTTTATCCTCTCATTTTACAGGGAAAGGAATTGTGGCTCAGAGAGAGAAGTGACTTGTCATATAGTGAAGTCAGTGGCAGAGTGAGGACTAGAAGCCATTTCTTCAGATTTCCCACCCAGGGTTCCTTCTGATAATATATTATTTCTGAATGAATATTGGGCTTTGTTGAGATGAGCTGTAATCCACTGTTCAAAGGAACAGATGCTGATTCTCCAGTCAGAGGACCTGGGTTCTGAATTTTGCCTCTAATGCCTAACACCTCGGTGATTGTAGGCAAGTCACAACCTTTCTGGTTTCCTCAGTTTCCTCATCAGTAAAATGAGAGTATTGGACTAATTGGTCTTTCAGGTTTCTTTTGGTTCTAGATTCATGGTCCCACAACTTTCCTTTACCCCCTGGGACCAGGTAGTCTTCTTCCTTGAGGTTTCCCCCACAATTTAAGGGGCACAAAGAATTTCTTTGACATTGCTGTCATAAGTTAAGCATCAGGGAAACAGAGAGTTCCTTTAAAACAGTGGTTCACTATTATCTCATTTGATCCCATAACAACCCTGGGAAAGGGTGCTAGTATTATCCCAATTTTACAGTTGAGGAAACTGAGGCAAATAGAGATTTGCTAAGCGGTATCTCAGGCTGCATTTGAACTCAGGTTTTTCAGAACAGAGAACCAGAGCGCTGTCCACTGCACCGCCTAGCTGTCTATATAAATGTGGCAAGAATGTAGACCACAGAACGTTATTGCTGCAAGGGGTTAAGAGACTTCCTCAGTTCCCTCCTCTCCACATCCCCCTCCTCTCCACATCCCCACCCCCTCCTCCCGCAGCCCCCTCAAACGGAGCAATCGCGCATGCTCCAGCCAGGCTCGCCGCGCCAATTAGGAGCGTCGGCAGCTGGGGCAGGCGCGAAGGCCCCATTCCAAGGAAGCTTGTCCCACTCGGCGCGCCGTCAGTCTCTAAGGGGGGGTTCTCGAGACTCTTAGCAACGCGGGCTGCGCGCGGGGCCCTCGGAAAGCCATGGCTGCAGCCAACCCCACCGTCTTCCTGGTGATGGTGAACGGGCAAGTGGAGAGCGGCCAGGTGAGGGGGACCCCGGACCCGACGGGCTGGCGGGCCGGCCCGAGGGAGAAGGAGGAGGGAGGGGAGGAGAGAAGGAGTGCGAGGCCTCGTGGCCACGCCCCCGGACCCACGAGAGGCGCCCTCGTCACAGCCGTGGCCAGCGTTCACCCCGCCCCTGCCCCGACATAGACATGCACTCCTGGACCTGCAGAGGGGTCAAAGCACACACGCACGAACTTGTACTCACACGAGTGTCTCTCACACACACGCACCCACACGCCCCTCTGCCAAAGTAGAGGACTCAGTGATACCACAACATAGGCCGCCCCCTTTTCCCCCCTGGGTTGCAGAAGACTCCCTTCTGCGCACACGGGACCCTCCCCTCCCCCACCTTCTCTCCAGAGGTCCCTCCCCCCTCCCTGACTGGACCAGGACCCGCCCTCCCCCTCACAGCTCCCACTCCGACATACAGGACCCGACCCCTTTTGTAAACTGCAATGGCCACATAAACACGAGCGGTTAGGGGGTCATAGATCTGGAGCTGGAGGCGGCTTTGGAGGTCCTGGGGCCAGCCCCCTCATTTTACAGATGAAGAAGAGTTTGGGATGGAAGGGCTGGATTTGAATTCAGGCCCTGTGCTGCCCCCTTGAGGAGGCAGAAGAGAGCACAGCCTTCAGCTTTATGCTGGCCCCCTACCCCACCTCCTTTAGTTTGTGATCTTGGGCCCCCCCACCCCCCACCCCGGCCTTTCTCTTCCAGGGGCCCAGATGTTGGTGTAGAAAGAACACTGGGCTGGGAATCAGGAGACCTGGGTTTTATTTCCAGCTCTGTCACTGTATAGTTTTGGGCAAATCACTTAATCTCTTGAGAAATCAGTTTCCTTACCTATAAAATGAGCGCATGGGGCGGAATAATCCCGTTCCCACAACTTCGAATGAAAGTGCTAATAGTTGCGTACTACACATTTTAAATCTTACACAAAAGTAGAAATTTAAAGACCAGGAAATAAAAAAATAAATAATATCTGATCCTAGAGTCAGTAGGGAACTACTCAAATTACTATTACTCTAGAAAAATCATTTTGGGCCTTGGGACACGCCCACAGTTAGAGGATGTAATATGGACAGTGATCCAGCAATGTAGACTAAGGAGGAATGAGCAGGTAGGAGAATAACCCAAGAGACGAAAGATGGATTGGAAGGGCTCTGGATTCAGGAGGCCCTGAGTTCAAATCCGGCCTCAGACACACAACACTTACTAGCAGTGTGACTTAGCAAGTCACTTAACCCCATTGCCTAGCCAAAAAAAAAAAGATGGATTGGAGAAGGGAGAGACTTGAGACAAAGAGACCAGTTAAGAGGCTATTTCAATAGAGATGATAAAGGATGAATTAGGTGAGATATTATAAAAGTAGAAATGGCAAGATTTAGCAACTGATGACCATGTGGTATAAGGAAGAATGAGGATTGAAAGATAATGCCAGTGTTGCAGATCTGTATAATTGTAAAGATGATGGTGTCCTCAACTGAAATAGGGACATTCAGAAGAGGAGGGTGTTTTGGGGAAAGGTAATTCTGTTTTGGATATGTTTGAGATTATCCAATAGATAGTGACGGTATGAGACTGGAGGTCAGGAGGGAGATTAAGACTGGATATGTAGTTGGATAGTCATCTGCATTAAGATAACAAACCCATGGGAACTGATGGAGTTACCAAATGAGAGAGTATACAGAGATGAGAAAAGAAGGCCCTTGGGTTACACCCACAGTTAGAGGATGTGATGTGAGCAATGATTCAGCATTGCAAACTAAGGAGGAATCAACAGGTAGGAGGATAGCCAAGAGACGAAAATATCACTGCAATCCAGAGAGGAGTTTTCTAGAAAGAAAAGTGGTCAGTGGTGTCAAATGCTTCAGAGAGGGCAAGAAGGATAAGGATTGAGAAAAGACCATCAAATTTGTCAATTAAGAGATTATTGGTAGCTTTGAGGATAGCAGTTCACTAGAGTATGGAGTCAGGGATGAAGAGGTTGATAAACCTGATAGCCTGGAAGGATGGAAAATAGCAAAGTTTGTAAATAGGTGAGTTTGTGGGGAAAAATAATGTAATTGCAAATCATTCGTGCCTGCTTATCCTGTGCTACTTTCTTTCCACCTAATAAAAGTGGGGAGTGGGGTGGCTTACTCACTAGTCGTTGTCCCTGAACTACAGAGCCTACTGTTCCTGGGTCAGGTTATAACCTCCCTGAGTGGCCCACAACCCAGGCACTCACTTAGATTGATGGTAGAAGATGGCCCAGTAGGGCAATGTTGAAAGAGGCTAGATGGTTGTATTGGAGAGAAGTCCAAGATTGGCTATGGTGGAATTTCTGATTGTTTGATCATACACCTTTTAGGGTCAGACCCTATAGAACCATTCCAAAACCCTCATTTTGGAAACACTGGTCTAGAATAGACTGTATGTTTGACCCCAAGCTAGGTGATCTAAAATCTCTCAACTTCATATTAATTCAATAATCAGTCTTTTTGGCAGCCTACAGAATATAGAAGAGAAATGGTGGATTGAAATAAAGCACCTATATGTTTCTTTTTAAAGTTTCCTGAATTTAATGATCTCTACTGCAAGTATTGTTTCGTTTATGGCCAAGACTGGATACCAACATCTGTAAGTTGAACTTTTAAAAATTGTGTTGTTTTTTTCTCAATTTCCCCTCCTCACATTTCTCCCCATTCTCCCCCTCCTTCCCCCCCTTGTAAAAAGATAAAATGTCTAGATTCAATGCCCTAACATGACATGATAAAAATGGACCATTTGTTAACAGGTAATATTTATTAGAGGAGCAGCTAGGTGGCACAGTGGATAGAGTGCCAGGCCTGAAGTCAGGAAGACTCATCTTCCTGAGTTCAAATCTAGCCTCAGGCATTTACTAGCTGTGGGACCTTGGATAAGTCACTAAACCCTGTTTGTCTCAGTTTCCTAATCTGTAAAATGAGCTGGAGAAGGAAATGGCAAACCACTGCAGTATCTTTGCCAAGAAAACCCCAAATGGGGTCATGAAGAGTCCAACATGACTGAAAGGACCAACAACAACAACAGGTATTTATTAGACACACTTATACTCAAGACTTTGTTCATGAATGACCAGAAATGGTGAACCTCTCACTCACAGATCTGATCCATCAAGCTTAATTTCATCAAACTCTCAGTGCAAGTACTAAGAATCATTATTCCCATTTATCCCGTAGTTGCAAAAATGCAATGTAGTTTTAAATTTTCTTTTTATGGGTATCTTTTGGTTTTTATATCACCTCCAAGAGATCTATCCTTGTAAGTAAAGAATATGAAAGAAAAAACAAACAGTTCAGTAAAACTAACTGACACACTGGAAAGGTCTGACATAAGCAGTGTGCACTAATGTAGTAAAACGAGTTTAGGTACCTTCTCATATCATTTTGGGGCCAAATTTGGTTATGATGATTTCACAGCATTCTGTTTTAATTCTTTTGTTGTTAATGTTCTTTCCCTTTATATGCTTATGGTCATTGTATATATTACTTTATTGGTTTTGCTTCTTTTCACATTAGTTCATATAGATATTCCTGTGCTTCTGTATATTCATTTACATCCATTCTTTACAATAACAGTATTTTACATTCCTGGACCACAACTTATTTAGCCATTCTGTAATACTTGCGACTGCAATTATATATTTTGCATATGGGGCCTTTGATTTTATCATTGACCTCCTTGGAATATATGCCTACCAAGAGGATCTCTGGGCCAAAGAGCATGATTATTTTGGTCACTTCCTTACCATAATTCCAAATTGCTTTCCAAAATAGTTGGAAATTCACAGTTCTGTCTCCAATACACTGATGTGCATGTCTTTTTAACCCTTCCAACTTTGACTATTCCCATCTTTTGCCACCTTTTCCAGTTTACCACGTGTGAGGTAGAATTTCAGTTTTTTAAACTACGTTTCTCTTATTATTAATAATTGTTATATGACCTTTAATATGCAGGTGGGTGGATGTCTCCATTTTGAGCTTATTGTGTTAGGTAGTGTGAGATGTTGGTCTAAAACTAAATTCTCGAAGCAGTTTTAATTTTCCCAATAACTTTTGTCAAATAAGGAGTTATTCCCCCAGTAATTTATGTTTTGGAGGTTTCCTGAACTCTGAGTTATCCAGTTCAATTATTTCTGATTTTTTTTTTTTGTCTAGTCTGTTCTGCTAATCCACTGACTAATGTTTGGGTCTGGCTGTTTAGCCACTTTTTATTATGACCTCGCTCATATTTTTCCATCTTTTCGTCAAGAGTAGAATGGGAGGCTTTATGAAAACCTAGGCAGACTTAACATCTCTAATTTATCAGTTTAGATCAAAAAAGGTTGTAACATTAGTTTTGAATAACTGTTTTTGTAAGTAGTACCAAAGTTTTGTGGTTACTGCTTTATGAGATATGAGAGGTCTAGCACTGCTATCCCTCCCCACTTTATTCCTACTTATTTTTGTTGTTTCCCATGATGTTCTAGATCTTTGTTCCTTCAAATGAGTGTTGGTTTCATTTTGACCATTTCTGTAAAGTATCCCCTTGGTAGCTTGGTTAGTATAGCATTAAGTTTGTAAATTGCTATTTTTTCCCTAGGGCTTAGAAGAGGGAATATCTCAAATTACTTCTAAAAGCCAAGATATACAGCGAAGCCTGGTGTGGAACTTCCCTATTGATATCACCTTTAAAAGTACTAATCCTTATGGCTGTAAGTAAATATTGGAATTGAAGCAAGATATTAAAACTGGCTTTGGAATGTAAAGTTTTAGAACTTTAGGCTAATGCCCTCAAGTTAAGTCGGGAATGACTTAGGCCTAAACTGGACAGGATTTTGCCATGTCTCAAGTCCTCAAATATATTCAAAATTGAATATATAAGACACAGGAGCTCAGAACTGTGACTCTGGAAGGAAGAATAGGAGTTTGAATATCGAATTGAAGTTTTTAATATTGAATAGGAGTTTTTTAACCTTAAAATGCCATCATTCCATTAGTTAAAAAAACAGTAGGGGATGTTGGGTTGGGGACATACCTGAAGATTTCTCAACTTTGCCTGCTAGGTCTAGTATTCTTAGACATGTTGGATAAATTGATATTAAATCTTTGGGTTTTTTTGTTTTTTTTTTTTAAATAAGAAAAGCAGTATGGTCTGTTGGAAATAAAACTGGACTAGGAGAGTCAAGTGGCCTCTTTTAGTTGTGGTTGTGTCACCTGTCTGACTTGGGCAAGTCACCTAAATTCTATGCTTTCAATTTCCTCACCTGTAAAAATGGGACTAATACTGACTCATGCCTTACCTGCCATCTTGTGAAAATCAAATGGGATAATGTATGCAGAAGCATTTTGTAAACTGTAAAATGCTATGTAAATATGTGCAAATTATGATAACCATTATAACCTAGTTCCCTTTTATAAAGTGCTTTTCCTCACTGTGCTATTAATTAGTTTGCTAGTTTTTAACATTTTTCATGAAATGGTTTGGAAATGTTTTGTTACAGTCTATAATTCCAGGCTTTTTTTATGAAACAATAGAATTTGTGACCTTGGAGTTCTTTCAGGGGCTATACGTGCATAAAATCTTTTAATTTTCCTTAGGAAAATATTTCTTTAAAACAGTGAAAGTGTCTTAGAAGAACTTACTTAACAAAAGGTAGTTTAAAATAGTAGTATTTTTATACTAGGTTAACATTTTACTTAACTTGTAATATGTTTTCTAATAGTAGAGGTGGGGAGCCTCTAACCTTTGACTTTAATTCATCCTTGTTCTGCTGGGGAAGTAGCAAAAAGTGGTACGTGTTCATAGTTGGGAAAACAACATAGTTTTCAAAATTTTTAGTGGCAGTCTTCTAAAAGTCCACAAGATGGGGATATTGCATGAAAATCTCTGTGTTGGGGTGTTTGTGTGTATGCGTCTGTGTCTGTATGTATATCTGCATCTCACTGTTTTTCTGTCTCTCCTTTGTGTCTTTCTCACTATTATTTCATACCACATTTTCCTTTGTTCCTATGTATATGCTGCTATGCCTCTTTGTCTTTGTGTCTATCTCTATTTTCTCTGTGTGTGCCTAAATATCTCTCTGGGTTTCTCTGTTTCCTTCTGTGTCTGAGGAATTGTCTGTATAAATTTCTGCCTCTTTTGCTTACTACCTGTGTGACCTTGGGCAAGTCACTTCCCTGGGCCTCAGTTTTCTTATCTGTAAAATGAGGGAGTTGAACTAGATAGCTTCTGAGATCCTTTTATCTTTCATTCTATGATCCTGAGATCATTAAATATTGAGGAACAGGGATACAAGGAAAAGGTGTCACCTAAAACCAGACATTAGTGGGTTGCTTGCGCATGATATTCATAAAGGATAGGTTACAGCATTCTCAGTAGTGGGTAGGACTGACTAGACAAGGAATGGCTAAGGGACTAGGCCTAGGATCCAAAGTTAGAAACTTTGCCAACTAGCAGGGAGAACTTTGTTGGGGGAGGGAGGGTGTCACTGCACAAAGAATATGCAGAGAGTTGCTTTGACCCAGAAGCCCTGAAATCTGTGTTGCTGTCAACCATTCCTACCCCCTCCCCCACCACCAGGCAGAAGCTTCTGGCCTTAAAGGGATATGGCTGCTATAAAAGGTCAGGACTCCTTAAAGAGAAATAGTCCTCTTTTTTTTTTTTTTTTTTTAACTAGATTGAGGAGTTAGCTGACAGTAGAAGGTCAGTATCTGAGCTGGTTCATTGGAGGTGATCACTCTTCTCAGTGACCTCCGTAGGCTGGGAATGAAGGTCTTGTGCACCAGAGTCTTCTGAGGTTGAGAACACTAAGCCTTCAGCAGATGTATTAGTGAAGGCCATAGGAGATAGAACCTAAGAACTTTTTAAACCCAAAGTTTGAATGTGGCTGCTGGAGGCTTTGGGCAGACTGAGGAACCAAGTTAGGTAAGAATGTTTAAAAGCTTTTCTTAAAGTAGAGTTGCAAGCCAAGATTTGGTTAAGTTGTACTTGATAACAAGCAGAGCTTAGAGAAAAGGTACTGATATTCCTTTAAGTGTTGCTTTAAGTGGTATTTTCTCTGAAATTTTCATGAAAATGTCAGTAAAATATTGATACCATTATTTGATTAGAAAAAAATATATTCAAGTGTGGCTTGAATAGGGCTTCCATGTCAGTTACCCATGGTTGAGGAAGAGCCTGGTGGTGTGGGTCCAGAGTTTGTAAGTCGAGACCCTGACACACGGTATGTGTGAATGTATTAACATACTTAATAGGGTGTGAGCTTCTTGTGGGCAGGGACCATTTCAGGTTTTGTGTTTGTGACTCCAGCACTTAGTATAGTGCTTTTTTGTGTTGCTTGGTAAATGTTATTTTATGGCAGGTAGTATGCACAGAAGAAATTAACTAACCATCAGTTAAGGAGCATGCCTTGTGAATTCAATCTCATTTCAAAAACAGCCATCATCCTGGGTTTCTCTCTCTCCTTTATCATTTATATATCATTACATATATAGATATAGCTTTAGCTGTGTGTATGTATGTATATATGTACATATGCATGTATAATGAGCTAACTATAAAATAATTATTTACTGGAAGTTTACACTTCCTGTTTTATTTTGAAAACAGAACAATGTTTTATATTTTTCTCCTAATTATCCCTAAATCAAACCAAAAAATTAAATTTCATATGACTTTTATGGCCCTTGATTGGTGGATTTTTTTCCTATGCTTCAGTGACTTTCGATAGAAAAAATCTTCTTTGTTCCTAGTTCATAAAAGCCTTTGTTAAATCCATTGTCTGCTGATGTGCTTGACATGAATTGATTGATAGTTGTTGAAAACAGTTACCAGGCACTATTGGTTCTTATAAAAGTACTGTCATATTTAGGCCATCTTCTATAACTGCATTTTCTTCCAGGCCAGCTTCATTCGTGGGCTTAACAAAACACTTACCTCTTTTTACCTAGTGTGGCTAACCATTGTATTTTTTTCAAGGGCCACAAATAGTGATAAGTGTGTATGGACCTGACATTTTTGGAAATGATGTGGTTCGAGGTTATGGAGCTGTACATGTGCCTTTCATTCCTGGTCGGTAGGTTTCTTCCTGTTACATTTATTTACTTTGTATGTCAGTCATTTTTTCTGGAAGGAACTTCATTTCTATTCTTTTAGTGGTATATCTCTTAAGACCTGTGCCAGCCTAATTTCACACATTCTGAATTTTACAGAATATCACATTGGCATCATGAGTAGTATCAAGAGTCTTATTATACTCTCAATTTGATGGCTGCCACTATTTAAACTAGATGCTGCAAGCTGTGACCCCATGCAAGATAGTTTTGATTGACATAGCTCTCTTTAGGTAGAACAGTGAACTTAGCAAATTTTGTCTTTGGAGTCCTTATACGTTCTCTATTAGTGCCTCACCACCATCTTTAAAAACAAACAAACAAACAAACAAACAGACTGGAACTCTCAGTCATACCTCTAGATCTTGTCACCCTGTCTCCCTCTCACTTCGCTTATGGACATATTCTTCCTTTCATCTGCCAATTAATGACACCCCCACTCCCTTATCGTGCCACCCCCAAGGTATTAACTGACAATGTGTTAGGCCTAAAATATAAACCCTTTCTCCCATGTTTGCATTTTTAAGGGGGACTGATGCCACACCTGCCTGCCTCAGTGAATAAAAATTTGGCATATCACTTCTGAAAAGTTGCTAATTCCCAATTTAAACCATATGGCATATTGATTGATTTTGATTGTTGTGGAATAAAGACTGTCGTCTTGTTGGCAGATCAGATTGCTTAGAATTTTTATTAAACAGCCAGATAGTTGAGAGACAGTTTCTACAAAGCTGTTTAGAGTGTTTGAATAAAGTGAGGTCTGAGTATGGAAATTCAAAGTTGCTGAAGTACAGGGGAAAGAAGTAGGCAGTTCGGGCAGCTAGGTGGTGCAGTGGATAGAGCACCAGCCCTGAAGTCGGGAGGACCCGAGTTCAAATCCGGCCTCAGACCAAACACTTGGCACTTACTAGCTGTGTGACCCTGAGCAAGTCACCTAACCCCAATTGCCTTTAAAAAAAAAAAAGTAGGCAGTTGCTGAAGCAAAGATAGGCACTTAAAGGTTATTTGAGGGTCACTTAGGTTAGGCAAGCTTATACAGTTGGCTGACTGCTTCGTCTGCTCAGAAAAGGAGAACAATTTATGATCACAGAAAAGTGAAGTAACTTGTGATTACAGAGGCATCCGGAGTTCAAATCCAGCTTCAGACACTTCCTAATTATATGACCCTGGGCAAGTCATTTAACCCTTTTTGCCTCAGCTTCCTCATTTGTAAAATGAGTTGGAGAAGGAAATGGCAAACTTCTCCAATATCTGTGCCAAGAAAACTCCAAATGAAGTCATGAAGAGTCTGACGTGACTGGATGACAACAAAAACGAAGAAAAAAAGGAATGGAAAAAAATGACCCCCCTTTCAGAAGGAAAGTCTAGTCCCAGATTAGCTCCTGGGGCACATGTAGCTCTCCCCACAAGGACTCATGACAGGAAATCTCCCCTCCCTCCAACCTTCTGGTGAGAAACTAAACTGCCTCCTCATGAAAATCCTTATGTGGATCTCTATGCAGCACATAAAGCAACCTAGAAGAAAATCCAGATAAAATCTCTCTGGGCTTCCTGCAGCATGGCCCACTTTTCTCCAAGGGGTTCATTACTTTGTAAAAAGCACTTTAAGTGGAGATCTGAACTTGACTGATGAGAGGATGTACAAGCTTAGCTCAAAAGAAGGCAAACTCAGCTGAGTACCTTGTGGGGCTCCCCAAAAGGGATTAAGCACTAAGACTTAATTAGAATTATACCCTGGCTTACTCCAAGACAAGGACCTTGAGTGAGTTATTCAAACAATGCAGAACCAAGGTAAAAATGTCCATTCAGCAGTCCCACAAAGTGTTTCATCTTTTAATATTTTAAATATTTACCTGTCTAGAGAGTATAATTGGAGTTATGGAGTACTGTTTCATGTTTTAAGTATTTGTCAGTGTACGTTTAAAGTCCTTTGTGTTTTAGGCATTTCTTTAACAGTAAAGAAAATAAATAGCTGCCTTATGCCTCATCTACTTTGCATTGTGGGTACTTTTTTAGATGGGACCATGCTAATCCTTTTTGGGGGAACTCAAGAGATGAGCCATTTGTAAACTTAATTTAAATTATAACTCTCAGACTTCTGCTCTGGTAAGGGAGTACATTGAGCTAAAGACAGTTAAAAAAAAAAAAAAAAAAGCCTGTTCCCTCTGAGTTCAAAAAGGAAGGAGACTCAGTGGGAAATGGCACCTTAGGGTCTTGACCATAGGTTGTTACAAGAAATAAGAATACTTGCAGTTTTAATGTCTTGCTTCTTTCAGAAAGTTGGATTTTCTACTTTCCAATTTTATTTGTTGAGCTGCTTCTCTTTTAGGCTAGAGCAACTTAACCATTAAAATCTTAAGCAGAGGCATGACTGATGATTTTTGTGCCCTAGGCAAACAACAGGATGCATATCTTTAATTCATTTAGGAATAGTGGTAGCAGAGAACATAGTACCTATGAGGCTACTGCTGGGGCAAGAACAGGGTGGCCAGATCTTGGGGAAGGGAGAAAGAAGGTGGTATCTGGTAGCTTTATTTTGCTGAAGGCCTGAAAGTAGTGACCTAGGCCGTCATTTAGAGGGAAAGGAGAAATTTAAGAGTTCAAGGAAAATAGCATTTGGCCTATGTCCTTCCACCTTTGTCAGAGTGCTTTAACTAGCACTGTTTCACTTGTGAATGGGATCTTTTGTGTAATAGTTTCCAACATGAAAGTCTAGATTTTGCTGTATATAAACCCAGTTGAGTTGATACGATGCCTTGGTGACCTTCTGGTTTTCTGTTTATGCAGAGCTTTGCTGTATGAATTTTTGTCAGTCATAATCACTTTGTGTTACCTGTAATGTTAAAACTGTGAAATAGGAGGTAAGGCCTCTAGGTGGAGTGGAAAAAGCTCTAGATTTGGAGAAAGAGTACTTGAATTTGAATCCCAGTTTTGCCACCAACTGGGTAAGTTGTAATTTTTCTGGCCTCAATTTCCTCACCTTTAAAATAAGGGGATTGCCTTTGACCCAGCAATAGCACTTCTAGGTCTGTATCCCAAAGAGATCATAAAAATGGGAAAAGGACCCACAGGTACCAAAATATTTATAGCAGTTCTTTCTGTGGTGGCCAAGAATTGGAAATTGAGGGGATGGCCATCAATTGGGGAATGCCTGAACAAGTTGTGGTATATGATTGTAATGGAGTACTATTGTGCTATAAGAAATGATGAGCAGGCAGACTTCAGAAGAACTTGGAAAGATTTGTATGGTCTGAGGCTGAGTGAAGTGAGTGGAACCAGGAAAATACTGTACACAGTAACAGCCACGTTGTGCAATAACTAACTTTGATAGACTTAGTCCTTCTCAGCAAGAATCTAAGACATCTCCAAAAGTCTTATGATGGAAAATGCTGTCCACATCCACACAAAGAACTATGGAATTTGAATGCAAATCGAAGCATACTATTTGCTCTTTTTTTTCCTTCTGTTTTGTTTTGTTTCCTCTTTCTGGTGGTCCCTTCTATTGGTTCTAATTCTTCCTTACAAATGACTAATGTGAAAATATGTTTAATAGGAATGTATATGTATCAGACGCCATCTTGCAGAAGGAAGGGGAGAAAAATTTAAAACTCAAAAGATTGTGGAAGTGATTGTTGATACCTCAAAATAAATTAATAAAAAAGAAATAATAAAAAAATTCTAATATTTTTAATATTGTTATTATATATTTAATATTATTATATATTATTGAGAGTAAAGAGGAGAGAGGGATAGAATTTGGAACTCAAAATTAAACTAAACTAAAATAAGGGGATTGGACTAGAAGACCTATAGGTTCCCTTTCAGTTCTAAAATCCTATGAATCTACATCTTTATAACTGAAATTCTATGTCTCTCTTCCTGGCTGTTCTTCCCTTGTTAAAATCCTGGCCTCTGACAGTCTTAGTGTTATTCCTTTCAGGCATTTTTATTTGCATTTTAAAATTCTCTAGGGCTAAAGGTGAAATTACAGGCCTGACTAGGGCCAGGGTTATTTGAGTATAAAAAATACAATAGGATTTTCTGGCCCCTGTAACTATCTACCCTGATCATATACCACACTTATATATTTCTGTGATTATGTTTTCATTTTGTATTTGTTATTCAGTTACATTAACACTCAGTATATTTACTAAATTTGTGTTTAATGTATATTTCAGACACAAAAGGACCATCCCTATGTTTGTACCAGAATCAACATCTAAGCTGCAAAAATTGACGAGGTAATTGCAACACACGTCACAAAAACAGAGGTTCTTAACCTGGAGTCCATGTACTTTTAAAAAATATTTTGGTAACTATATTTTAATATAATTGATTTCCTTTGTATTATTAGGTATCTTATTTTATACATTTAAAAACATTCTGAGAAGGGATCTTTAGGTTTTACCAGAGTGTCAAAGGAATCTGTGACACAAAAAAAGTCAAGAAGCTTTGTTTTAGAAGATAGGATTGGCAAACTTGGCCCAGAATAAATAAGAAAGTGTGCCTCTCTTCTTTCTGTGCAGAGGTGGGGGACTGTGGGTGTGGAACACTATATATACTGTCAGATTTAGTTGATATATTGGTTCATTTTACTGAATTTTTTTTCTTTTTTTCTTCTTTGTTGCAATAAATGGTTCATGGTTCACTTTGTAAGGAGGGAGGATAGGATATATTTGGAAATGAAGAGATAAATATATCATTAAAATTTTAAAGATGTCTAAAGAAAGGCAGCATGATGCAATAGACACATAAAGACATGAGTTCATACCCTTCCTACTGGCTGTGTAACCCTGGGCAAGTCAATTAACCTCTTAATGTTCTAGATGACTTTCAAAGATTATAAATTGCAAAAAAGGTGCTTGCCTGAAGATTCTCAAGGGGAGAATGAAATTACAAATGAAATTACAGCTCCAGGCCCTATCCTTATTCTAAAGAAAAAAGAATTAAGATCAGAAATTAAAACAAATTCTTGATGTCATTGACAATAATCTTTCTTACTTCAGTCCTGCCTTTTAGCATTTTAAAACTCTCAGTAATTAATTTCTATCACAAGGTCGTTGTATCAAAAAGAAATTAATACCATTAAAATAACAATAAATTTTATTTGGAATTACTATTATCGTCTCTTTGAAGCCCTGGAACTTCATATGCAAATTGCATCTATGGAGTTATGATTCTCCATCTGCTCTACTAGCACATCTGACCCAGCCATACACAACAGTCAATATGAACAAAAGACAGAGAGCAGGAAGTCTTTGCCTAAAAATAAAAACTCAAGTTGATATCTTCCTCCTCAAGCCTCTTTACAGCATCTCCTTCCTCCTCCATCTCAATGGAAAAATTCACCTAGAATACCCTCTCTTCTCTTTCTCCTTATCTCACCATCCTTCCTCCTCATCTTACAGCCCCTGGGTATCTTCCCTGACATTTCTTCCTTTCTTCCAGTCTCAGATAAAGAGGGGACCCTTCTCTCTAGGGTCAATTTTGAGCCTATCCCTTCCTGTCTTTTTTTTTTTTTTAGCAGAATTCCTTCGTTATCATCCATACTCACTCTCTAATCTTAAATCTCTCCTTATCAGTTTCTTTCCTGCTGCCTACAAACATTCCCAAGTGTCCTTCATCCTTAAAAAGACCTCTCCAGATAACACCATACCTGATAAGTATCATTCAATATCTCTCCTCCCTTTCTCAGCCAAACACCTTGAAAAAGAAAATGCCACTGCTTTTCCTCTCAGACTCTTCTTAACCACTTGCAGTCTGGCTTATAAGCTTATCAGCCAACTGAAATTACTCTCACCAAAAGTTAGAAATAATTTCATTGCCAAAGCTAATGGCCTCTTTGCTCTTAAAAAAAATTCTGAACTCAAAAAACACCAAATAATATGGGCATTTCCATGTACAAAGTATAACAGAAGAGGATTGTACATGCAACTACAGATCTCTATTGTGTACAACTTGATTTTTTCAATGTGCAACTTTCATAGCTGTTTTGCTTGTCTAAGATTCTTTCTGGCCTTCCTTCTCATTTCTTGTCTACATTTTCAAAGAAAAGATGCTTCAGTGATCCTCTTTTCTTTCTTTTTTGCTACTTTATTTCCATCCTTCTTTACCCTCCCATGCCCACTCCCATTGGAAAAAGAAAAAGGAAAACAAAATTCCTTTAATAAATATGCAAAGTCAAGCAAAACAAACTCCTACATTCACTATGTCCAAAAATGCATATATTCTTCTGTATCTTGGGCCCATTACCTCTCTGTCAATATATTAGTAGAATGTTTCATCATTAGTCCTTTAGAATTATGGTTAATCATGCAGCTTCATGTATAATAATTTTCTTCTTCAGGTAGATGGATAGATAGATACATAGATCAATTGATCTAGCATTCTGAAGTTTTTCAGAGTTATCTTTCATTATATAAATATGTATTTATATTTATTATATAATTATTATTATATAAATGTTCTTATTCTGCTCATTTCAGTCTGAATCAGTTCATACAAATATTCCCAGGTTTCTCTGAAACAGTCTGTTTTGTTAATTCTTATGGCATGATAATACTCTGTTATATTCATACATCATAATTTGTTTAACCAATAATCCCCAATAGATGGCTACCCCTTAAATTTCCAGGTCTTTGCTATAGTAAAAAGAGCTACTATAAATATTTTCATCATATATGTATATTACACATACATATATTTCCTCTTTCATTTATCTCTTTAGAGTATAGACTTAGTAGTGGTTTTGCTGGATCAAAGGATATGCATAGTTTAATGACTTTTGGGGCATTGTTCCAGATTGCTTTCCAGACCAGCTGGACCAATTCATAGCTCCACCAACAATTCATTAGTGTGTTTATTTTTCCACAGTTAGTGAGTAAACAAGCAGTTATTAAGCACTAACAATATGCTCGACAAGGCAGCTGAGTGGCACAGTAGATAAAGCATTGTCTGTGGAATTAGGAGGGCTCACTCTCATGAGTTCAAATCCAGCCTCAGACATTTACTAGCTTTGTGGCCCTAGGCAAGTCATTTAACTCTGTTTGCCTCAGTTTCTTATTTGTAAAATGAGCTGGAGAAGGAAATGGCAAGCCACTCTAGGACTTTTACCAATAAAACCCCAAATGGGATTATGAAGAGTAAGACATGATTAAAACGACTGAACAATAGCAAATGTTCCAGGCACTGCGTTGATGATGGGGATACAAAGAAAGACACCATGCAAACAATTCTGCACAGAGTGTGTGTGTGTGTGTGTGTGTGTGTGTGTGTGTGTGTGTGT